TACCGTGATAAAAGCATTAGCAATTAATCGCAACATGAAAATTTGATACCGGCATATCCCTAGTGTGTATATATACACTTTTTCAATTAATTATTATTATTATTGATATTATTATTATTATTAAGTGAATAAATTTAAAAAACTTTAATGTTACTTTATAACTACTACACATAATAATTTTTAATAAATTACTTTAAATTATTTTATTAAACTACTTTATATATATATATATATATATATATATATATACACACACAATCCTTTTTTAATAAATTAATATATAAATAATATTTTAGCATTACAGTATGACAAATGAGTTGGTTCTCATTTCTTTCTTTTAATTTTAGGTTGAAATGTGACCTAAACATGTTTGTGATAGCGTGACAGTCTCTTTGGTTTTCCCTGTTACCCTCTTTCAGCATTTCTCATGTTACGCAGCTGTCATTTGTCTCTGGTGCTTTACCGACTTCCCTCTCTCGTTGTCTCTTTCAGAGTGAACATGGCAGTGTGGATCCAGGCCCAGCAGCTGCAGGGAGATGCTCTACACCAGATGCAGTCTCTCTACGGGCAACACTTCCCCATAGAGGTGCGACACTACCTGTCCCAGTGGATAGAGGGACAACTCTGGTATGTGAAGAGTGCAACTGTCAGTTTGTCATTTTTTTAATATGTCGGTGTTATTAAGTGTGTCCTTGTGTCCTCTTTCAGGGATGCGATAGATTTAGAGAACCCTCAGGAGGAGTTGAAAGCCAAGCGTTTATTGGACAGCCTGATCCAGGAACTACAGAAGAAAGCAGAGCATCAAGTGGGAGAGGACGGCTTCTTACTCAAGATCAAATTAGGACATTATGCTTCACAGCTAAAGGTTCTGCTTGTTCTTTTTCTATGCATACAGTTCAGGAAAGATTTAGTTTAAAAAAAAGTTCAGACTCACATAGATTATCTTATAATATCTTAGGAGAAATAAAATGAGAGAATATAGATACAACTAAATGAGACCGTTTTTGACATATAGTATGTCAGTGCATGACAGTAAAGCTGTTACTAAGAACAGGTCAGTCAGGAAAGTGCAGCCTCAGTTTTTACTGTCATTAGTGTTGTGGGGTGTGCTTGAGTGTGTTGAAGTAAAACATGGCAGAGTAGATGGTTATTCTGATTGTGTGTGTGTTTTCAGAGCACGTATGACCGCTGTCCCCTGGAGCTGGTGAGATGCATCAAACACATCCTGTATACAGAGCAAAGACTCGTCAGAGAGGCGACTAATGTGAGTAGACACAGAGTAAGCAGATCTATTTCAGACTGTCGGTTCATTAGGGCAGTTTATGTGAAATAACGGTTGATTTTGAATGAATTTAATCTCATCTTCCTTTTTTTTTGTAATGAAGTACAATTCTAGTTAAAAATTGCTGTTTATCACTATGTTTTCAAATGAGGCATATACAGGGTTCTCACAATCATGTAAAACCTGGAAATATAAGGGAAGTTGTGAATTCTAGCCCTTTAAAAGTCAAATGAATAATTTATATACACACAGAGTATACACACATACAACCGTTCAAAAACACGGGGTCAGCAAGATTTTGTAATGTTGTTGAAAGAAGTCTCTTATGCTCATCAAGCCTGCATTTATTAGATCAAAAATACAGTAAAAACAGTAATATTGTGAAATGTTAATACAATTTAAAATAACTGCTTTCTATTTTAATTAATTTTAAAATGTCATTTATCCCTGTGATGTCAAAGCTGAATTTTCAGCATCATTACTCCAGTCTTCAATGTCACATGATCCTTCAGAAATCATACTAATATACTGATTTAATGCTCAAGAAATATTTCTTACTATTATCAAAATAACTGTGCTGTTTAATATTTTTGTGGAAACCATCATTTTTTTTAGGATTCTTTAATGAATAGAAAGCTCAAAAGTATTTATTTGAAACTGATTTTTTTTTTTGTAATAATGTAAAAAAAAATTACTGTGACTTTTGGTTAATTTAATGCATCCCTGTTGAATAAAAGAATTAATATCTTACAATAAAAATCTTACTGACCCCACACTTTTGAACTGTAGTCTGTATGTTGCTTTTTTTGTTATACTAATAAGTGTAATAGTAATAAATCTGTTAATTCCAAGAATTATTACCTGACATTGAAATTAAAAACTTCCCCGAGATATCTATATAATCATCTCATACATTTTTTTTACCTCCACAAAATTTCATTGGTCAAAATGTGTGGGAACATTTCCCAGACCTCATAATTTAGTTCTCTCTGTATTCAAGTGATTTATTAACACTTTGAACAAGCCATTAAAAAGTTGTAATAACTGTTGTAAAAAGTTGTAAGTAATTTGTACACATTTAAAAAAAGAGATGACTATGTTGTCTTCTTGGTTTAAATTATGGTCTTTGTACACATAAGTTCAGTGAGTTCGGTCATCTTTAAAAAACCATCATGGGTAATAAACAGGGCTACTATACATGACTGACTTTCACAATCTTCAGAAATAAAGTTTGTGTATTTGCTTTGTGCATGCATAGAGGAAGATACATATTTACCCCTACACAAAAATTCATGATACCTGCTCAGTTTTATGAGAGTAAAAGAGGAAATTTCAGGTTTTATCAACTCAATTGACAACCATGACAATCATAAAAGACAATATCAGTAAATCTAGAAGCTTACATACACATTAAAACGCCCACTCATCTCAGACACACCTGTAGTTAAAGACATAATATTTATGTTCACATCCCATGTATGCACTACACAAACAATATATAGTTGTTTAAACACACGTACATGTGCATCCAGTCTTACGTGGGCATAGACGAATAACCTTATCTGGGTTGATTATTGATTCACAACAGGACAGGGATGATAAGGTCCTACTATACATATTGAAGCTTTGGTTTGTGGGATTTTAGTAGTATAACTGTTTGTCAGGTTGTTTTGAAAGTATCTACAAACCCCAACCCTTCTTCATCTCGCTAGTTTATCAAAACTAAAAAGTTTTGTACTCCGCATCAGAATGAAGCTATATCATGTTTCCTTGCATTTTTCTGAAATAGTCTGATCGTAATTTTAGCAAAACCTAATGTTGAACAACTTGGTTGTCACTCGTGTGTGTCTGTGATTGGCAGTCGAGCTCACCGGTGGGCAGCCTGATGGACAGCATGTCGCAGAAGTACCATCAGATAAACCAGGCATTCGAGGAGCTCAGAGTATTGACTCAGGACACAGAGAATGACCTCAGAAAACTACAGCACAACCAGGAGTACTTCATTATACAGTACCAGGAGAGCCTCAGAATACAGGGTATAAAGCCACAGTCATTTACATTTATACATTTGACATGCTTTTTTCCAAAGCGACTTACCTCGCATTCAAGATTCACATTTCATCAGTTCATGTATTCCATTGGAATCGAACTTTGGTGTTGCTAGCGGTAATGCTTTGGAATGCCACACACACACACACACAACCAGCAGACATGCAGTCATGTGTGTGCAGTCAAATACACAGACTATTTTATCATTCAGTACATACAGCAAAAATGTCCTCATTAAAACAGCCTGTAGGCTCCCATAATTCCTGAGAATGCCACTGAATAACAAATCAAACCAGTTTTAAGGGGATAGTTCACCAAAAAATTAAAATTCTGCCATCATTTACACATCCTCAAGTTGTTCCAAACCTGTATGAACTTCTGCTGAACACAGAAGTAGATATTTTGAAGAATGTGGGTAACCAAACCATTGCTGGTCCCCATTGAATTCCCCTGTAAATATTTTTTTTTATACTATGGAAGTCAGTGGCGACCAGCAATGGTTTGGTTACCCACATTCAAGAGATCTTCTTTTGTGCTGAACAGAAGAAAGAAATTCACACAGGTTTGGAACAACTTGAGGATTAGTAAATGATGACAGAATTTTCATTTTTCGGTGAACTATGCCTTTAAGTCTGAATTTAGATCTCTTGGTGTAATAATTTATAAATAAACATTATTCGTAAAGATAATTGCAATAAAAAAGAAATGAAAATACAGGAAAAGCATGCATACAATGAAAAGCACAGGAAAGAAAACTGCGCTTGTCACACTTTTTCATACCCAGATTGCTCTTCTACACATGAAATTATGGGAGTCATTTTTTTATTTATTTTTTAAATTAATTTATTAAAGCTCAACTTTGTGGACTAAATCCTCCTTTCTGTTGTGTGCAGCTCAGTTATCAAGTCTGGCCACACTGCCTCCAGCAGACCGACAGCTACGAGAGCCCAGCCTGCTCAGCAAGAGAGCCACAGTAGAGGCCTGGCTGACCCGAGAGGCCAACACCCTGCAGAAATACAGACTGGTACACACACGCTCCGAGTGAATAGTGTGCATAGCGTTAGCATAATACAACACTCAGACTGTAACATTAGTAACACATGCTTTACAGGGGCATATCGTAAACATTGCTCAAAAGTTTGTGGGTTACTATGTTGTTGTTTTTTTAATAAGTGAATACTTTTAATCAGCCAGGATACATTTAATTAATCAAAAGTGACAGTAAAGACCAGAGACAAATGACAGCTGCGTAACATGAGAAATGCTGAAAGAGGGTAACAGGGAAAACCAAAGAGACTGTCACGCTATCACAAACATGTTTAGGTCACATTTCAACCTAAAATTAAAAGAAAGAAATGAGAACCAACTCATTTGTCATACTGTAATGCTAAAATATTATTTATATATTAATTTATTTCAAATAGATGCTTTTTACAGTTTCAAAATATTAAGCAGCACAACTGTTTTCAAGATTGATAATAATAAGAAATGCTTCTTGAGCACCAAATCAGCATATTAGAACGATTTCTGAAGGATCATGTGATACTGAAGACTGCAGTCATGGCTGCTGTCATTTGCTTTGCCATCACAGGAATAAATTACATTTTAAAATATATTCAAATAGAAAACACTTAATTTAAATTTTAATAATATTTCATAATATTACTCTTTCTGTCCAAGATCAGATGCACAGAAAACAAACACGGGTATAACGCTCGAAAATGACAGCCAGGGCAAACCAAGACTTCACAAAGAGTCCATGTAATGGTGTGGCTTATATGTGTGTGAGTGTGCAAATGAGGTGCAGGTGTGGTTGTGTAATCAGTCCCAGGTATGAGGGATGATGGGAGTCCGAATGGGAGATCGCTAATATTCCGGGGGCAGTTCCCTCTGGTGGTGCGGAGGAGGCGGTACGGGAGCCTCCTCTGTAACACTTTCTTTCTTTCTTTCTTTCTTGATTAAATAAATGCAGCCATAAGACTCTTCTTTCAAAAACATTATAAAAACTCTTGCCAACCCAAAACGTTTGAACTATAGTGTATTTTTCTCCCTTA